AAAGACTTGGCATGGGGGTCAACCTGTATCAGAAATGCTAAACAGAGGTAAGTAGTCAAAATCTTAACTTTCAAAGGTCAGGTTTTCATGACTGAATTCAGGCTAAAAACCCTTGGCTGTCCAAGTCATTTTGTGTTCACTAAGTATGAAGTGTGGGCACACAGTGTTAATTTTCCTGTCATTTGTGATATCAGTTTTGGTCGCCCAGTGAATGTGTCGTCTGATTGCTGTTATTTTTTTTGTTCTTACTGCTACTAATAAGCAATCTTTGGGGAAACAACTTTCAAATATCTTGTTCCTCATCAACACTTGTACTGCTTAACGTCTCTTAATGGTTTTTGACCAAACCAGGCTTCACTGTGATGATTTTCCATCTCTGACACTACCTCCTCATTGACTAATTGATACTCAGCATTCAGCTTCTAGCAGGAGCCCTCCCTGGACCTCTTTTCTCTCTCTCTCTCTCTCTCTCTCTCTTCTTTTAGTCAATTTACTATGAACTCATATTCCTAGACTTTTCAATGATTTACAATCTATTACTATCCTTAACCATTTTGGTGCTCAAATTGTCCCATACTTGGCCAGTACTGACACCTTCGCACTGGCTCTTATGACATGCCCCCTTGTAATTTATTTATTTTCTCACTCATTTTTCTAAATATTTGATGAAATACTCATCCTCTTGGGGCACAGTGCTTGCCTGTACACTGTTGATAGTGACCAGAGAAGCACTTCACCTCTAACTGTAGCCAGGGCCTGCACATGAGCTCCCACTGAGGTAACTAATCTTCCCCTGCCCTAGTTCAGTGTAGGTGCTTGTGGTCTTCAAAGTATATACTTATTTAACATACCCTGTTTGCTTTTACTTCTATCATTTTCTCCTCATCACATTTGATAGTTGGGAAATTGTCAGATTTCTGTCCTTTCTTTCCAATGACTTTTTGGTTTTACTTTAATCTGTGCAGTACACCTTTAGGTCAGCAGTGGGTCAGCTTCCAATCTGTCACTTTATTGTCAGATTCTACTTGTAGTAACATGTAGGAAGTAGTGTGTGACTCAGTCATTGCTCTGTGTTCTCTGGAAATAATAAATGTGTTCCAGTTATTCATGACTAAGTATAAATACAAAGAATCTTTATGCTCACATATTCTGATGCTATTCAAATCTATTACTCTCCATCTGGTTCCTCTAAATTTATACTGTGAATTGATGAAGAATTACCTAGTTGAAGAGATAGTAACAGTCCAATGACATATTTCAAAGGAAAATTCTATGTGCTTATATCAGTAATATTCCTTAAGTATTGTTATTTAACATTTTAACTCCATACTGCTTGTTGGCTAAATGAATATCTTTATACTGTATTGTTCAACATGTTAGACATACTTGCTCATAATTCCTAAAATAAGATTGATACCACTATTTGCCATGAGGGAGAGAGGTGTCCCAAATCTGCTAGACAAACTCTAAAGGAGCTATAATACTTAGCCATTGTCTGTGTGAATTTTGGGAGAAAACTGATGGTAGGCCTTGTCTTTCAGTTATGTTGCATTCATGATTCTGAAGTATGTATATTATTTAATCTAGGTTATTTCAATATTAGCACTTAAAAATATAATTTATTCAGACTGAGTCACATTACTGTAATTACTATGAGTTTTATCCCAAAACAGTGACTTAAAACCTAAGAGGGGGGAAAAGGAAAGGATCAACTTAGTACACACAGTGGTGTGGATTCTTGTCAGGGCACATACTTAGTTCTTGCTCCATTTGTATTTCTGCTGTGCTTTCTCAACTCCACCCTCAAGTGCTTTCAGGGTTTTTTCCCCTTCTGAAATGTAATTTATAAAAACTGAGGTTATAGGCCTAAGGGTAAACAAATGCCTGTGGCATACCATTTTGAACATAAAGTCACACTTGCTGTATTTAAGATTAAACTTCTGCAGACTGAACATAAAAGCTGTTTTCATCTTCTCTTTCAAGATACATTTTTGGCAGCTTGCATAATCACAGCCAAGATGTTTTTTAATCCTTTTTATGACTGAAGACTCAGTGGTTGCTGCTGTGAGGCCAGTATTTGAATTCCATGAACAGCGAGAGACAAGAATAACAAGGTCAGGTGTCCCTTCCACCCGCAGAGTGAATGGGCTGTTTCACTGAGCCTCTCTGCCACTCTGCAGGGAAACCACGGGCAGGAACATGGAGCGTGCCGAGGGGTGTTGGGGGGCTTGGGCCAGCAAGGCCAGAGCACCAGGTTCAACTGTGTTGGCATCCACAAGAGTGTCCACCCTAGCACAAACCTTGGTTTTGGCAGCACCTTTCTCTGGGATCCACATTATGTAAGGTTGTAGAAATAAAGTTCATGAAAGAAAACACTATGAGAGAAAAAATGTGAATGCCTTGCTTCTAGCCCAAATCACTGAATGATTTAAACAAAATTATTTTTAGACATTTTTTTAAGTAGTTCTGCCTTGCCAAGAAGAGAATGTTTGCTTTTTCTAATAATTGAATTTTGTTTTTGTTTTTCATCTTCAATAAATTGTTTATGGGTTTAAAATAGATGTAGCTCTGATTACTTTAACATCTGAAATGACTAAATGGATATAAAATGACATATTAATGTACTTATATTTTTGGTTGGGTGGCGGTGGCTTTTGTGAAAACTTCTGGTTTGTTTTTTCATGTTGAGTTTTAGGAGATTGAAGTCAACATTATTAAGGGTGTGGAGTGGGAAGCTTATTCACTTGGTAGGTAGAACCCTGAGTACTGAAGATGGGTCTGTCCTCCCTCTCTTGTGTTTATCCAACAGATTATTCCATTGGAGTCTCTTAAGAATCACACTGTGTTTAGGGACTACATTATATACCTATAACTCACAGTGTATAATCCTACAAGGTTATACTTCTAGGAGATTCTCTGTTCCTACCACCTGTCATGGTTTTTTTAGATAGTACAGTTCACACAGGGCTGTCAGGGCCCAGGACTGGCCAGGTCTTGGGCCCGGCTTAGGTAGGTTCTGGACGTGGACCACTAAGCTACCTTGCTCAGGATCAGTTTCTCTTAGGTGCTTGAGGGCTATCTACTTTAGCTGGAGAGAGAGAGAGACAGAGTATCTTAGAGAGAGTAAAGCAGTCCTCTTAGAACAGATAGCTCTTAGACTTTAGCAGAGCTTGGTAATCTTCAGCAGAGAGATGCTGTGCTGGCATTCTGCAGGCAGGAGAAGAGACAGAGTAAGTGGATCCGTGATAGAATGCGCATGCCTCTTGTCTGCCTTCTCCTCCAGCCTAATAATATAAGGCTGAGCTCGTGCCGCAACACCACAGGTGTAGAGACCACCAATTCACCAATGCTCTCATCTCTCGAGCTCTCTCATGCGTGTTAGAACTAATCTCTCCATGCCCTTTTCACCAAGGTGTTCCATTATAGGTATTTCCTATAACTCTCACTCCTCTTAGCCAAAGGCTATACGGGCTACTACACAGGGGTTTGGATATATTCTCGGGAGCTAGTTTCTCTGGGACACCATGAGGGGTGCAGGGTGTGTGTGATATGTTACACTGCATTTTGGAAAAACTCATTGGCATCTGTAAGGAAGAGGATCCATAACAAGCTGGGAATCAAAAGAGATAATAAGGACTTCAGCCAGGTATTGGGTTTGGGGGTAGAGAAAGAAGCTTCCTAAATGGTTCAACTGTGAACATGGAGGCAGGACGAGAATGTTGGCCGGTGGGGTAGATTGTTGGGTAAACATGTCTTTGTGACTTCACGTGTCATCCCCTGTGCTTTCTCACCTTGACAGGGAAGGGGTCACAGAGGTCAGGAAGAGGACACAGGGCTCAGGAAGGGCTGGCAGAGTTGTTGCCAGAGAAAGCAGGATGAATAAGAGGTTACACCCTAGAAGTGGCCCAAGTGATGGCACCATACACATAAGGGAATGAGTCTTTGTCATCAGGTGTAGAGGTGTAGGCAAGAAGTGACTGGCTGGCAGGATGAGGGGACTCGTGGGCTGACAGTTTCAGAGTCAGATATCTTAAAATGTTTCTAGAACAGGTCATGATAGAGTCATTTGTATAGAGGTCATAGCTGAGGGCTTGTCTAATCTATTTTCTTTTTCTCTTTGCCCATATTCTACCACAGTTTAATTTTAATTCTTCTTCTACTGCCTTTCACTTCCCCTCAAGAATTCCTTTTTATCTGTCTGCTGAACTGTAGGATGATCCACCAGCGTACTTTGTTGTTGTTTGGTATGGTTTGTGGGGGGAAGTTCGAGATGATCCTGTATTTTTTTTTATTTCTCAGGTATTAGGCCCTAAAACACGCATTTGGTTCCTATGGGCAGAGGGCCAGCATATTGCCACTAACAGCAAAAGCACTGTGCTTTGCAAACCAACTAGTCTTTTTGCTGCTTTCCAGAGTAAGACTCCTCTGCCCTGGAATGTTCTCTTCTGTCCTGTGACTCTACTTGTTTTAGAGATTGGTGTAATCCCAGGAGATAAGCAGCATAACACTGTCACTGCTGCAATTTCCCCTGGTGGTTATATTTTCCAAAACTATACAAGAACTAATATGTGAAAACAAAAAAATAGCCTTTATCTCTTGTGCCTGACATATAATCAGATTACTCTGGGGATTAGATAAAAATAAATCATTTGTTCCTATAGTTAGCTACTATGATGACCAAGGTAATCTCTTGTGAGAGAATTTCAAAATGAAATCAGATATATAGAATTTGGCTTAGGAAATAAGTAAATATAAAAAGAGCAATGTGAGTTTGAGTATAAAGTTGGCATTCTTTTGATTAATGATGTTGTAGAATAAGTTTGCTCTCAGCTGTGCCCCTCTGGAACCCATCATGGGTCGTGTTGCAGAAATGTCTCAGGCATGATGCTTAAAGACCCCAAGGACAGCATTGTACTGTGTTCCCTTCATTATTTCCCTTCCCCTGATATAAAATTGCATTGGCTTTTCCCCCTAACATATCTATCTGACTTTGCTTACAGGGCATGTTCTCATAGAGATTTCCAGTACCCACAAGAAACTCAATGAGAGTCTTGAAGAAAATGTATGTGGTCTGGTTTTGTATTTACAAAATACATTTTTAAAAATTGATTTTCCTTAAATTTCGTGTGACTGATTAATTTCCTTTCACTAACAGTTCAAAAAATTCCATAAGGAGATTATACATGAGCTGGAGAAGAAGACAGAGCTTGATGTTAAGTATATGAACGTAAGTACATGGTTCTCCTCAACCCCCAGCACTAGGGTGCCCAATCTCTCAGCCCGAGGAGAACTTTTTCCCACTGTTTATTCAACGGCAGCAAATAGGAGTGGAACTTGGGTTTGGTGTTGATCTATACTTGGAGACATAAAACCCACAAAGTCCCTTTGGGCTGAATGGGGTAGTGCTAACACTTGGGATCTTTATTAAAAAACATAGAAAAATATATTGCAAGAATCGCACTGCTTCCAGAACACACAAATGTGACAGGACTTCTGTGTGCTATTGCAGCTGATGCTTCACAGCCCAGCTGTAAAGTACTTCAGGACATACTTGAGTGGCATGTAGGTGAACATCATCTGGGATCCCCTTGGGCTCCCAGGTCCATTCTGCAGAGACCGGTCCTGCATGGTGTCTCTTCCGTGTCACCTGGTTTTATCCTTCAGGCTGGCCCCAGGATCCCAGTACAGAGGGCTCTTGCCATCTTCCCTTGCTGCTATAGAGTACTTACTTTCTTCTCACGAAGACCCCCATGTGGTAGTAAATGGTACAAAGTACCCTGAAACCATCCTGTGGTCCCATGAGGCTTCCTGCCCTCACATGCACACCTACACCTATACCTGCTGAGGTGTATTTAATGCCAGGTGTTTTATGCATGTTATCTGATTTTTATTCCTATCGGAACTCCAAAATATAGATAGCCTTATTATCTTCACTTTACAGATTATAGGGAAAACATGAATTAGAATTCTAGTGCAGGTCTTTTAGGCTCCAGGTCCTGTGTTCTTAAACATTCTAGTATACTGTACCCAAAACAACCATAAGTGATTATTCATCCTGTTGCTTAAGATCCTAAATCATAAAATATCCAGGAACATGTGATTTAATAGTTTATTCACCAAAGCACTTGACTGACCATCCAGTTATCCAAAAACCTTTGAGGAAAGAAAAAAGAAAGAAAAGACATTGTTGTCTTCAGAGAGTTGCCCTTCTGGTCAAGGTCCCCTCAGAAAACTTTAGAACAGACAAAGCCAAGACATTAAAGATGAATAGAAGGAGGCCATGTGAACTGAGGGTGTGAAGGCCCCTAGTCAGCATAAAGATGTGAGCCGAGGGTATGAGGTCCTGGCTAGTGTGAGAATGGTATGAATGAAGGGTATAAGGTCTCGTGGCCAACATGAAGATGATCTCAATGAAGCTATGAGGTCCTGGCTCGGCGCCTGTGGCTCAAGCAGCTAAGGCGCCGGTCACATACACCTAAGGTGGCGGGTTCAAATCCAGCCCAGACCCGCCAAACAACAATAATGGCTACAACCAAAAAATAGCCAGGCGTTGTGGCGGGCGCCTGTGGTCCCAGCTACTTGGGAGGCTGAGGCAGGAGACTCGCTTGAGCCCAGGAGTTGGAGGTTGCTGTGAGCAGTGAAGCCATAGCACTCTACCCAGGGGCTTAGCTTGAGGCTCTGTCTCAAAAAAAAAAAAAAAAAAAAAAGAAGCTATGAGATCCTGGCCATTGTGAGAATGGTGTAAACTGAAGCTATGAGGTCCTGGCCAGTGCAAGGATGGTGTGAACTGAAAGTGTGAGGTCCTGGCCAGTGTGAAAATGGTACAAGGCATGGTTGAGGGTGTCAAAACCCCAGTAAGCCACACACAGTGCAGGTGTGAGCAAAAGCAACTGTGACAGTTAGTATGGTGCTCCCATAAAATGAACACAACATTTAACTTACAGGCAACTCTAAAAAGATACCAAGCAGAACACAGGAATAAATTAGATTCTTTGGAGAAATCTCAAGCTGAGCTGAAGAAGATCCGGAGGAAAAGCCAAGGAGGACGAAATGCACTAAAATATGAACACAAAGAAATGGAGGTAAACTTTTCAGCAATACCTCATTTTCCTTCTTTGTTGGCAATTTATATAGTTTAAGGGGAAGCCTGCTTACCTCAGTGGGCTGTATTTTATTCACTCAATATTGTGCTACTGCTAAAGTCAAGAATAAGCATTTTTTTTTTTAAGAGTCTCACTTTGAGGCCCTGGGTAGAGTGCTGTGGCGTCACAGCTCACAGCAACTTCAAACTCTTGGGCTTAAGCGATTCTCCTGCCTCAGGCTTCCAAGTAGCCGAGACTACATGTGCCCACCACAATGCATGCCATTTTTTGTTCACAGCCATCATTGCTGTTTGGCAGGCCCAGACTGGATTTGAACCCACCAGCTGTGGTGTATGTGGCTGGCACCCTAGCCGCTGAGCTATAGGCACTGAGCCTAAAAATAAGTATTTTTGACAGTGATTTCATAGAGGTGGAGAATAGAATTGTGGTTACCAGAGGTTGAGGGCCAGGAGAGGTTGGCTAGTGGATACAAACATGCAGTTAGAAGGAATAAGTTCTAACACTCGATAGCAGAGTTGGGGTGAATGTAGTTAAACTGTTTATTTCAAAATAGCTAGAAAAGAGTTCTTGAAATGTTCCCAACACACTGACTTAATCATTATACACACTCTGTTCAGGTAACAAAATATCATATGTACCCCCCAAAATATGTACAAATGTTATATTACCAATTTAAAAAATAAGTATTTGACTTAGAACTAAGGCTGCAGAGTTTTCTAGAGTTAAGAATAATTAGTAGCCTACTAAAGGCCCCTTTTCTGCTGACTTGGGAAGGAGGAGGTACTCCCCATGACTGACATTACCCAAGATCTAAAGATTCTACAGATGGAGAAAAGTAGCCTTAGGTGAAGTCATTGTGTCATTTGGAACTGGGGTTTGAACCTAGGACTTTTTGATTCCAAAGCCCACAGTGCTTTCCAGTAGAAAGTCACATGCTGCAGTACAAAGTAATATCGTGTGCCTATTCCCAGTGGACATTGAAGCCTTTGGCACCAGTGCTCCACACTTGGGTCAGGGGAGAATGAAATCTACTCAGTCCCAGTTAACAACTTCATTTGTCTTTGTGTGTCTGCATTTAGTATTTACTCATTATCAAAATATCCGTTATCAAAATAAACCAAGTGTAAAGATGACAGAAGAGAAATGTCAGCCTGTGCAGCTGTCTGATGCCTCGTGTCATGCTATATGATGATTATTTGTTTTGTTTTTTTTTAGTATGTAGAGACTGTTACTTCTCGTCAGAGTGAAATCCAGAAATTCATTGCAGATGGTTGCAAAGAAGCTCTACTTGAAGAGAAAAGGCGCTTCTGCTTTTTGGTTGACAAACACTGTAGCTTTGCAAATTATATACATTATTATCACTTACAGGTGGGTGTGATGGTAAATTGCAATGAGTATATTAATAACTTTATTTCATACGTAAATGCCCTTGAGGTGCTTCACCTTCCATATATGCCCAACATAAAGCAATTTTGCCAATGAGAAAGTTTCCAAAGAAACAATTTTTGGCCAATTTGTATATATAAACATATAGAAGTACAGATGAAATGATCAGATTCCTGCTTATAATTTAATTAACTAACTTGGTAATACATCTTTATTTTAAATCCCTAATGAAATAATGCTTAACAACTGAAAAATGGCACCTTTTCCTTTCCTCACCTACAAATCAGCTTCTCTCATGCCCTTTCTCCTGTGTCCTCAGTATCATTGTCTTTACCAGAGTCACAAGAGTCCCAGTGGGCCTTGGGTATACTCCCCTGCCCCTGGGTGATTTGAGATGCTTCCCTGGTGGATCTGTGCAGGGGGTCACTAGCAGTTCTGCCTCAGGCCAGAGGCCCCTTCTTCCTATCCATTGGGACAGTGGGGCTTTGTTGCCTGTTCCCTCCTCTTCAAGGTGTTTACTTACGATTTCCTCAACTGAATGCCTTTATCCTCTCTGTCCAACATATGTGGCTGTGAGGATAGACACTGCCCACCCCATGCCCCCAAGAATCATTACACAAATTTCCTTTCCTTTTTTTTTTTTTAAATTATGAACTCTGTTGGGCCTGTGTAAGCAAAACTAGCACTGATTGAGGTCAAATATTTCTGGTTCATAATAAAGTAATTTGGAGAGTGCTCCATAATATGAGAAGCTTGGCAAGAGCTTGAATAAAAGCCAACATCTTTTTTTCATGGGGGCGGGTGGGACCTTGGCCCTGTATATATGCATGTTATTCTTTCTATAAAGCTTTTACAACTTGAGGGAATATTTGGCTACCAAGATCTAAAATTGTTATAGCAAAGGAAAGAATTGCTGTATTAGAAGACCACTCTTGTCAATAGTGCATCTGTACTAGCTTTGGCAATGTCAAGTTAGCTTGAGAAACTTCAGTTCCAGGGTGAGGACACCCTGCTGCACAGGGTCAGAGGCTTAGGGGACCAGAGTGACCTTGAAGCATCTTCTCATGGTGACACCCACTATGTCATGAGGCAACCTGGCCTCTTTTCAAAGAACTCTAGTTGTTGGCAAAGTCTTTCCCTAGACATAACCTTGGGTCCTAGTTATGCTATATACAGTGACACAAACCAAATCTGCTTCTTTCTATACTGAAAGTTTCTTCAACTATCTGAAAACTGTTTTTATGACTTTCTCTATCCCAGCTGAAGCCTTTCAGCAGCTCCTGGATGAATAGGCCCAAGAAATTGGTCCACTGTGTGGCACTGCCCCAGTATGTCAGGGTGACAGTCGGGGACCAGGTGGTATAGGGAAGGGGCTTTGCCTTCCTCTAGGATTTCCTTTAACATCCCAGCTACCCCTAGTTAAGTACAGAGCCTGAGTAATAACAGTGTGGTTGTCATGCAAGTAGCTGCAAATTCCAACCAGATTACTGCCCTGAAGAGGGGTTCACTGACAGGCTTTGGGGATCCTCTTGGAGTGCAGTTGCCAGAGCAGAGCCAGGCCTATGGAAACAGGAGGGCCACCTCAACCTGGCCTCTGGAGCTATGGGGTCTCATCTCTGCCAGTCTATCTGTCTGCTCCATAAAGCCTGTTGGCCTGTGGCGGGGGTGTCCCTCAGTGCTGCCCACCACAATTCTCCTACCTCTGTCCTATAGTTGGGTTCTCAAAACAGAGTCTGATTTGCTTCTCTAACATGTGGATTGGGCTGCTGGGACTGTCACCTGTTTTGGAGGTACTGCTATCCTATCCAGGGTAGCAATGACCAGCATTTCTGGGACTGCCTGGAAAATCGTGGGGATTCAAACAGATCTCTCAACCCTTCCCTTTTCTTTTTTTGGACTTGTTCTCAATCACGATGCCCATGGTAGTCTTAGGGTTTATATTTACACTGAGGGAAAAGGTAGATTCCTTATAGCCGGAGCCTCTGTTCTTCTTAGCAAATGAGACGTGGTAGATGCTCAGGGATGCTGAAATACTCACTGAATTTGACTCAGAGCTCCCACACTTCTGGTGGTCAGCCAGGCATATATATGTTATTAGTGATACAATTTGAGGTCATTTTTGTCAGCTCTTCAAACAGTTCACCTTTGTCTTTAGTGTTGTTTCTTTTGGATTTATAGTCTGCAGAAATACTTAATTCCAAACTGCCCAGGTGGCAGGAAACCTGTGGTGATGCCACCAAAGTACCAGAGAAAATCATGAGTATGATAGAAGAAATAAAGACTCCAGTCTCTACCCCAATATCCGGAACACCTCAGCCTTCACCCATGATCGAGAGAAGCAATATGGTAGGAATCAATTTTCTTCAGGATTTCAGTTGTGTGTTTACTAACTTGATTGGGCCAAATTTATTCAAAGGACCTGGGCTGCCTTTGTTGGTGGAAATCATGAGTTCTCCTTTATTATTTCTAGGGCTCATTTTCCCTCACCTTTATCCCCTTACCCTCAGATTTGAAATTTGCTATATAAATTATTTATACTATGTTTAGCACTATTATCTTCATTTGGGAAATTTTATTTTTACTGTTTTAGCTGTGATGATTCCACTTTATAAGTTTATTCCCACGAAGGACATATAGGCATCTCAGAGAATAGATTAGGAACACTGATGCCATTCTTCACATTCTAAGGCATTAGGAAAAAAGTAGTCACCAAAGTATTCACAGTGCTGAATTTACACATTACAGTTTGCTGTTCTTTGAACCCAGGCTTTCTTTTCACACACATGGAGATTGGTACCCAGCAGGTAGTTTGTACACATGGGAATCCTTTCTGCCCATCTAGAAACCCCTGAAATGACAGCAAAGGCCCATGACCTAGCCGCCTGACTACCCACAGGATAGATCATGATGTGTGAGAAAAGAAGAAAAGCTACCATCAATGGACCAGAAACTGAAGGAGTCTCTAAAGGACAGAAAGGCAGGATTAGTGTTTGGAAACTCAAAACAAGGAAACCTCAGCCCCAGGCGTGTGTAAGGCAAGGCTGCTGGCAAGGGTGGCACTGCTCCCGAAGGCAGGGAGCTCAGAGTCCATGGGTACAAGAAATGGGACAGAGCCTGGGCCTCTCTTTAGGTAACTGGTTTGGGGGACTGGACAGCCCCTTCCCATTGTCCCACCTATGCTAAGCCATAGGCATCAGATTTTCATGTACTAGGCAAAACTATATTTGGACTAAAGAGGTAGGGCCCCTTCTGGAAGTAAGTGTGTTTCACTCTCCCCACATAGCCCTGAGATGACAGCAGAAGTAATGGAAACAAGCAAAATATAGGCCATCATGTATAGTAAGGACTGTCATACAGCGTGAAGGTGGCTGGCCAGGGATCACAGAGTAGGTAGGAAAACCAGTATCATGAAGAAGCTCCAAAATAAAAGAAAAAACCTGGCATGATGGATATTGATCCTAAGAGGGTTAATAGAGGAGAAATCTCTAGAGAGAGATGAAAGGATATTACACCCACCAAGAATCACATGGAGATCTTGCAAATCAAAAAGTGGATTATTATTTATAGTTAAAATGATGTGTCTGGGACTTGTTTCAGAATAATTTAGGTATAGTTCAGGAAGATGGATGAGGGTATACATGAAACAAGATTGATCATGAATTGATAATTGTCAAAGCTGGGTGTTGAGTATGTGGAGATTTATTATGCTGTTCTCTTTTACTTTTCTTTGAAATTTTTCTAAAGTAAGTTTGTTTTTTATAACTGGATTTTTTTCCTCCCATTCCTTTCCCCTAAGAAAAATGTCAATAGATGGGCTCATTAGTAGAGTGGAACTGCTTAGAAGAGTGAGTCAAAGACCCCTCTTAAAACACAGTGCAAAAATAGACAAAGGATTTTTAAAAATCAAAACAGAAGGTGAATTGGTCAAGGTATGGGAAACAGATCCAGCTGCCCACTTGGTATCACCACCTGGGTATCTGGTGGGAATACCCAGTTCAGTTTGTCTAAAACCAAATCACCGATTTTCTCACCCTAAATCTGCTTTTCTTAGGCTTCCCTACCCAGTAAGTGGCGACTCCATCCTTTTAGACACAAAACATCAGCTACTTGCCCCCACTTAAGCTGCAAAATTCTCTCAGTGCATCCTGTCGTTTCTACCTCCGGAGCATATCCCAAGTCCAGCCTTTCTGCCCCTCCACCATCCAAATCATGGTCCCCGCAGAGATGAACACAGTTGCCTCCTGCCTGGTCTTTAACACAGCAACCAGAGTGATCCTAGATCAGCGGTTCTCAACCTGTGGGTCACGACCCCCAGGAACTATATTAAAAGGCTGTGGCATTAGGAAGGTCCACTGTCCTAAATGAATGGAAAATACCAAAACCTTGAAAGATTACAGTCATTTCAGAATATGGAGATAAAGAGAAAATTCTAAAAACCTCCAGAAAGAGAAAAGATAGATTATGTACAAAGAAAAGTGAACAATAGCAGATTTCTTGTCAGTAAATAAGATGTTGAAGTTAATGAAATATTGCTTTCAAAATTCTGTGGAAAAATTATTTTGAATGTAGAATTCTATAGCCAAGTAGCACTAAGAGGGATCCTGAAATCTGAAGAGACAAAAATGTAGGTTAATGGTTGCCAGAGAAATAGAGAATAACTGTTTGTTTGTTTTTGAGACAGTGAAGGCAAAAATGAGGGGAAAAAAGAGAGTGTGGTATATACTCTCGAAATAATTCAAAATGAAGCATTGCCCTACAACTAAAAGAATATGGGGAAGAAGATGGAATTTAAAGTATGTGATTTAAAAGAAAAAAAAAGCTCTAAGAATCTGTAATTCCAATTTGGTGTTAACACTAATAAAGAATTTTTCACAGGTTGGGAAAGAATATGACACTCTTTCTAAATACTCACCAAAGATGCCCCCAGCCCCTTCAGGCAAAGCATATACCAGTCCTTTGATTGATATGTTTAATAACCCAGCAATCGTCACACAGAATTCAGATAGGACAAATAATTCAACAGGTAAGAAATGTAGTTGGATTTATTCGAACTACCTTTTTAAATTTTTAAAAATAATTTGTGAAGTAAATATTTTAGATAAATGTATTATGAGGTAAAGGCAAGCAAACAGGTGTAGTAACTACTCAGCCCTAGCTTGGGAAAGTGAATGCTCAAAACATATAGGTCTAGGCTCCGCACTCATAGCTCAGTGATTAGGGCACCAGCCACAAACACTGAGGTTGGTGGGTTCAAACCCAACTGGGGCCTGCTAAACAACAATGGCAACTACAACAAAAAAATAGGTGTTGTGGCAGGTGCCTGTAGTCCCAGCTACTTAGGAGGCTGAGGCAAGAGAATTACTTAAGCACAAGAGTTTGAGGTTGCCATGAGCTGTGACACCACAGCACTCTACTGAGGGGTGACATAATAAAACTCTATCACAAAAAAAAAGTCTATAAGGCATTTTGATAACATTTCTTTGATGTATACTAATTCTATATACTGATCCATGTTTATACAGAACAAACATAACTATTCAGAGTTATTATATTTAAAAATAAATGGGGTAAAATGTGCATAGCCTTATACTGTGTTCCATATTTGGTGGCAAATGTAATAATTTTTTAAATTAAACTTTAAAAGTTCAAGTGATATAAGGCCAGGCACAGTAGCTCTCGCCTGTAATCCTAGCACTCTGGGAGGCCAAGGAGGGTGGTTTACCTGAACTCACAGTTTCGAGGAGGCCAGCCTGAGCCAGAGCAAGATCCCATCTCTAAAAATAGCTGGGTGTTGTGGTGGGTGCCTGTAGTCCCAGTTACTCGGGAGGCTGAGACAAGAGAATTGCTTGAGCCCTAGAGTCTAAGTAAGTTGTGACACCACAGCACTCGACTGAGGGTGACAAAGTGAAACTCTGTCTTAAAAAAAAAAAAAGATAGAATTATGGTTATTAGTCTTAACAGGCATGGTCTGAATTTTTTTTTTTTTTGAGACAAAGTCTCACTTCGTTGCCCCTGGTAGAGTGCCATGTCATCATAGTTCACCCTAACCTCAGACTCTTGGGCTCAAGTGATTCTCTTGCCTCAGCCTCCTAAGTAGCTGGTACTATAGGCACCCACCACAACACCCAGCTATTTTTAGAGATGGGGTTTCACTCTTGCTCAGTCTGCTCTCAAACCTTTTGAGCTCAGGTGATCTACCTGCTTTGGCCTCCCAGATTGCTAGGATTACAGGCCTGAGCCACCATGCCTGGCCCTTGGTCTGAATTCTTAATCAGCATTTTTCTTCATCTCTAACAGATGATGCTGCTCATCTCTAACAGAGGAGCCTGCAAATGGAGCCTGCTTTGTGGAGGCTTATGTTCTAACTGCTTAAATTTCTTAACTCTGTTAACTATATCTCAACAAATCAGGATCAGTTATTATTTGCAGATGTTTCAGGCTGCTTTACTGGTTAGGCAGTACACACTGCCTATACATTGTCTTCCTACATACTGTCTTTGGTACCCAGGCCCCTGGACACCTGTACTGTGACCCATGACCTGCCTGTGTGAGGTGTCTCTAAGGCTCCTGTGGTGTCAGTGTTGCAGGAACCAAGTTTGCTCTGGAAAGAGCCTGCAGATGAGAGCCTGCGTTTGAAGCTGTTGGACAAAATATGAGAAATTTCTCGAATGACAACTAGGGTAACTTAGCAGAGGAAGATGATAGTTTGTAGTCATTTGCCTTTGAAGGAAGTACTATGAGTTATGTAAAACATAAAGTTAAAATGTATAATACTGTATGCACCCCAATCCTTTAAATAACTGGTTCTTGTTAGTAAAAGCTAAATGAAAAAAGCAGGACTACTGAGGTAACTAGAGAATGGCATGGCTGGGCACAGTGGCTCACACTTGTAATCTTAGCACTCTGGGAGGCCGAGGCTGGTAGATTGCTTGAGCTCAGGAGTTCAAGACCAGCCTGAGCTAGAGCATGATCCCTGTCATTTCTCATATTTTGCCCAACAGCTTCAAACGCAGGCTCTCATCTGCAGGCTGAGTGTTTAATTTTAGCTGGGTGTTGCAGCGTGTGCCTACAGTCCCAGCTACTCAGGAGGCTGAGGCAAGAGGATCACTTGAGCCCAAAAGTTTGAGGTTGGTGTGAGCTATGATGTCAGGGCACTCTACCGAGGGTAACAAAATCAGACTCTGCCTCAAAAAAAAAAGAGAGTGAGAGAGAATGGCATGTTAAGGAGACAGCAAGGTTTATATTGTAATTACTAAGAATTTGCCAGAATAAACAGAAAGAGATTCTTGCATTGTTTTAAATTAAATACGCTAGATGTATTATTTGCCTAGCTAAATTCTAGTGGGGAAAAAAAAGAAAAAAAAAATCTCTATTCCACTTTTTGTTTTTTCCTGAAGTGGAAATATCAGCCTGTATTTGAATTGAGACATGAAGCATGTAGCTTGGTGCTTACAAGTAGTGTCTGTGGGGCCAGCCTGCTTCCTGATTCCAGCCCCTTGCTGGCTGTGTGACCTGTCAGTGTGGGTGATGGCAGTGCCTTTCCTCCAAAGGAGCCTGGGCAAGCTGATGAAGACTCCGTAAATAGAACTCATTCTCACTGAGTCCTTACTGTGCTAGAGGTAGGAAGTGGCCAGGATCATTTGCATTTCCAGTTTTCTCCCTTTCCTTGTGGGCATCAGCAATTGGGTTGGAGCTATTGCCTCTGCCTGCCATTGGTGTTAGAGCAGTTCGCCTGTCTGAGGAGAGCCTCACAGTTCAGAGCAGCATGGCTGGCTTGTCTTCCTGGTCTAGAGAGGAGCCCTCTGCCCCAGGGACCCTCCTGCACTGTGAGAGCCCTCAAGCCATAGGCTGCCTCTGTTGCCTCATAGTCCTTGTGCCATCTGGGCAATGACAGTGGCAAGGAAATGTAACACAATTAGAATTTCCAAGGAAGGATCATGTGGGTGAGAGTAGAATGGATGGTTTTCTAGGGTTTGCTCATTTGAATGTGCCAGTCAGTTATTGTTCTCTGAAAAGCCATTACACTCACTCTGACAGATGTTTCAGAAGATGCCAGTTTACAGCGATCGGTTTCTGTTGCAACTGGACTGAACATGATGAAGAAGCAGAAAGTTAAGACTATTTTCCCCCATACTGCTGGCACCAACAAGACCTTACTCAGCTTTGCACAGGGAGATGTCATCACACTACTCATCCCCGAGGAGAAAGATGGCTGGCTCTATGGGGAGCATGATATCACCAAGGCGTGAGTCTGGCACCATCCCAGGGTGGCTACCAGGGGCCCCTCACTGCAACCTGCTGTCTGTCGGGCTGAGCCATAGACCGTCTTTGTGCTTTAGCCAAAGTAAAGTTTATCTTTTAGTTCTAGTTTAGTTACCTGGAGGTATTTGATGTCAGGTTATTTTCTGTATGTCTGCACATATATAGGTAAACTCGGTGCATAAATTGATTATTAGATAATATGAAGTCACCTCTCTAAAAGTGATTTTAAATATTCTTTTTTTTTTTTTTAAATGGCTTTTAGGCCAGGCACAGTGGCTTATCCCTATAATCCTAGCATGCTGGGAAGCTGAGGCAGGAAAATTGCTTGAGCTCAGGAATTTGAGACCGACCTAAGCAAGAGTGAGACCCCTATCTCTACTAAAAACAGAAAGAAAGGCTTAGTGCCCATAGCTCAGTGGTCAGGGCGCCAGCCAAATACACTGGGGCTGGCAGGTTCATATCTGCCCTGGGCCTGCTAAACAACAATGACAACTACAGCAAAAAAATAGGTGGGAGTTGTGGCAGGCGCCTGTAGTGCCAGCTACCTGGGAGGCTGAGGCAAGAGAGTTGCTTAAGCCCAAGAGTTTGAGGTTACTGTGAGCTGTGACTCCACAGCACTCTACCAAGGGTGACATAGTGAGACTCTGTCTCAAAAAATAAATAAATAGAAAATTAGCCAGGCATTGTGGCAGGGGCCTATAGTCCCAGTTATAGGGAGGCTAAGGTAGGAGGATCACTTAATCCCAGGAGTTTGAGGTTACAGTGAATAACAATAACAATGAACAGCACTATAGCCCAGGTGACATAGCAAAACTGTTTCAAAAAAAAAAATGGTTTTTGATTTCTCAAGGAGAATCTGTGTATCAGATGTAATTTGTTAGGATAGTTTAAATGCCATCTTCATCATGTAACTATGAAGCGTTGCTATAATTGAGTCAGTTTTCTATGTAGATTTTTCAGTATATTAAATATAAAACCAATATAAAAAAAACAAAAAGAGAACCCAAATCAAATTAATGTAAAATACACATGGTTTTTGTGTGTATACAAAGTACTCATTCATTTATAAGCAGCCTTAATTGCATCCAGTGTACATGTGGCCCTTGATGGTGAAATGGACCCATCTGCCCCTGAGCTATCATCAGGACATTCTTTAGTATTTACTCCTTGCTCATCTACAGGTAATACCATAAATAGTCTTTTTTTTTCCTCACTCTTCACTTATAGGAGGGGATGGTTCCCGTCATCATATACAAAGTTGTTGGAAGAAAACGCAAAGGAAACAGCGACTATGCCCACACCAAGGTACTAAGTGAATGTGGCTCAGATCTCCCATCAACAGAAAACCTTTAACCTGTGTTTCCAGCCATAGTGGAATTATAATGTAGACATGTAGCAAGTCTCACTGTCAAACCTTAGGTCTTGTAGACCAGTCAGAAATAGAGAATATAGCCCCACTGTGATTTCTGTTGTCCACGAGCTTTACTCACCATCTGCTAAGAGGAGACATGACCCAGACACCCTCCTCCCTACCCCCTCCAGCTCTCTAAACTCTCTTGCTGTCCTCTGCCACTTACTGGTGTGTTCTTGCCTTGGCTTCTTCACCTATTCTCTGTCTTCCTTCTGCCTCACTAACCTCCCTCTTCAGTCCTTTCTGTGGCCTCTTTCTAGCCCATCCATTAAACATTGGTATTCTTCAGGGATTGTCCTATTTCCCCTCTCATCTACTCCTGTGGCTTGTACTACATCCATGGGCTTCCCTTCACACATTTATACCTATAACCCTTATTCTAGTCCAGATTATAATAACAGTTAACACTGAAACTGTCCTAAGTGCTTTACTTTGTTTAGTTCGTTCAATTCTTACAACAGCCTATTAGATAGGCTCCTACTTTAAAAAGTGAAACTGAGGCACAGAAAGGTCAAATAACTCGCTCAAGGACACACAGCTAGCAAAGACACACAGCTAGAAGTGGTAGAGCCAAGACCAGAACCCAGGAAGATCTCTTCCAGGCCTTAATGTAAATTATTTGTACATGTATGTGTAGTCGGTAGTCCTAGTTGTCTGTCCCATGGGCCTTTGGAAATGACACCTCTACATTGAACTGGTCATCTTTACCCTAAACTGCCTCATCCTCAGTGTTCCATCTCCCAAAAACCTCCCTAACCTGTCAGCTGTCCAGGCAGGATGCCTCCCAGCCCTCCATTATACTCCGGGTCTCCTGGTGCCTTCTGTGTTTCCCCATCCCTAGCAGATGAGCTAAAGTGGCACTGTGCCAAGAAATGAAAACCAAGTACCATTAAAGAAGTTCTTTTGAGTATTCATGTAAAGACCAGTAAAAATATTGGAGTATTGTGTGTAGATGTATGTGCAGTGTATGTGTGTGTTATAGTCCCCTCCTCCTACACCCTTTTTGGTTAGTGATCTGTTACTGTGGTCCTGGGCCATGGGACATTCAGGATGTTTGAGATGCCAGTGGTGAGACCTTATCTAACATGTATTCTCTCGGCTCTGGTTTCAAGCCCTGCGCCAGTGAGGAGCATCAGCACTGTGGACTTAACTGAGAAAAGCAATGTCGTCATCCCCGCACCTGATTACTTGGAATGCTTGTCCAAGGGAGCAGCTGCAGACAAAAGAGGAGATGTTGCCAAAAATACTTCTACTTTCAAAGCACCAGTATCCAAGCCAGAAACCACATCTTCTGTGAGTAAAGCCACAGAAGAATGTCCTGTGTACTAGACTTACCATCCCCCTGTATGCCCAATAGGGAGGCCTACGCTGCTGTTCCCACCTTAATCTCCTTGCTCTGCTCCAATAGCAAGGCGGTATCCCAGGTGGGGATAAGACATTTTCTCCTTTGTTCCTCTGGAATCCCTTCTTTGTGACACAACCTTTAACCTCCTTGAATTCAGACCTTCTCTTGCTTTTAGTTTACACATCTTGCCAGTGACAGTTTACATACAGTAAGCCTATAGTTTGCTTGATTTTATTAGGTCTTTGTTTTGTTTTGACAGAGTCTCACTTTGTCACCCTTGTTAGAGTGCTGTGGCATCATAGCTCACACCAACCTCAAACTCTTGTACTCAAGAAATCCTCTTGCCTCAGGTTTTCATTTTTAGTAGAGATAGAGTCTCTCTCTTGCTCAGGCTGGTTTTGAACTTGTGAGCTCAAATGATCCACCCACCTTGGCCACCTCCCAAGCATGAGCCACTGCCCCTGGCCTGTTTTTGTTGTTGTTGTTTTTTGAGACAGAGTCTCACTCTGTCACCCTGGGTAAAGTGCATGGTGTCATAGGTCACAACAACCTCAAACACCTAGAGTTCAAGTGATTCTCCTGCCTCAGCCTCCCAAGTAGCTGAGACTACAGGCACCTGCCACAATGATGCCCAGCTTGTTTTTTCTAGTTTTAATAGAGACAGGCTCTTGCTCTTGCTCAGGCTTATCTCGAACTCCTGAGCTCAAGCTATCCACCGACCTAAGCCTCCCAGAGTGCTAGGATTACATAGCTTTTTTTTTTTTTTTTTTTCTTTTTAAAAGACAGGGCCTTGCTCTGTTGCTCAGGCTAGATGGTGTGATCACAGCTCACCACCATCTCAAACTCCTGGCTTCCAGTGATCCTCCAAAGTAGCTGGGACTACAGGCACATGCCATGACACCCAGCTAAGTTTTTAATTTTGGGGGATCTTACTGCTTCTTGCCTAGGCTGGTCTTCTAGCCTCAAGCAATCCTCCTGACAAAGCTCTGGGATTATAGGTGTGAGCCACTGTGCCTGCCCTCATTAGATTTTTTAATCTCCCCTTTCCTTTGCTCATGGCTGGAGTCTTTTTGTCATTTAATCACCTTTTTCTACATTTTCCATTTTCACATTATTTTCTGAAGGAAGACTTAAGGTTAAAAGTGGTAACTTTATCTTACTTCGGAAAATGTAAACTTATACCAGGTGCTGTGTAAACTCTGTATGTACATTACATATAGTCTTAGATAACTCCATAAGTCAGTGGAGGACCTGGGCTTGGGTAATCACTTCCTTCATTTTTTCTTTTAATAACTGTACATAGAGTTCTGCTGAGCACCAGGTCCTGGCATGGCCTCTAGAGATACAGAGATGAACAAGGCAAGTTCCTGGCCTCTTTGGAACAGGCAATAAATATAAATAAGGGCGGCGCCTGTGGCTCAAAGAAGTAGGGCACCGGCCCCATATGCCGGAGATGGCAGGTTTAAACCCAGCCCTGGCCAAAAACTGCAAAAATAAATAAATATAAACAAAAGTATCACTGGTAAAAGTCCGGCAGAGAAAAATAAGGTGAGGTGATAATGGGGGTGGGTGACAAAGCAATTTGCTGAGATTAGCATGCCCTGGGCTGAGACCTGCAAGGGAAAAGGAGAGGGCAACAACAGGCAGGGGGGTCTTCTTGCCAGGATAGCCCTGAGAGCTGTCCTGAGTTGGGAAGAGGGAACCAGGCCTCTACACACCTATGTCCAGGGGGCAAGACCTGCAGCCAGCACAGCTCTTGAAGAGCACTTATCACAGAGGTCTGCCTGCCACCAGCTTTTTCTACATCCAGAAGTCAGTCCCTCTGTCCTATAGGAAATGGGGGCACTCAGCAGTGTACAGCAGTGGGCTCTCCACGGAGGTGACATTTAAGCCGAGATCTGAATGATAAGGCATCAGCCATGCAGGTACTGTGGGGAGAACCCTGAGAGGGGCCATGTGCTCAGCATGCTTGAGGACCAGCGCCGCATGACAAGCTACTGAGTGACATTGAGTCCACAGGGGCTTCTTATCCTCCTGATTTTTTTTCAGTATAGATTATACAACAGAGGAGGAAATCATGGAGAAAAAGGAGATGACCAAGAAGGAAGGAAGGGCCCAGAGCACAGGTGCAGGAGCCTGCCTGGCTGCAGGGGGACACATATCCACTACAGCAGCTAGTGGGCAGCCTTGGTGCTTTTATGCCAACTTCTGCCTTCTTGGTGGCAAAGGAAGTTGGCCAATGTGCAGCCGGTGGGCAAATGGTGGTGAGCAAGATTAAAAGAAGAGAGGCTGTAAAATTGGCGTTTTGAAGAATGTGAATATCACCATGGGTGTGGGGGTCCAGCAATGGGGTGAAGGGCAGTGGGGAAGCCCCCTTGGGGCTGCATAAGTGCTGGCATGGAGAGTGGGAAGGCCAAGAGGAAATGGTCAGGCAGTGGAATGGACTCTTCGGAGGATATGCAGTGGAGGAGGTGCTGCAGGTTGCAGGACAGCAGAGCCAGGGGAACCTCAGCCCTCCTGGCCTGCACTGCTGCCACTTTCCTCACAGAAGTGGGAGTCCACAAGTAGTAGGTACAGTTAAGTCCATTCCACTTTGATTGCTCAATTTTAATTATTCCCAGTTATGGTGTGGGTCTTTCTATAGCACATGCATATGCTATCTTCTGGATCTTGGTTGGTTGTAGCTCCACCACACTGCCTCCTGCAGAACCCATAGCTCATGAGAGGCCTATGTTCAGCAGTTAGTGGGTAGAGTCTCTCAGTTACATAAAATGGATACTTCTCAAAATGTGCCCTGTGCTTTAGCTTGACCCTTAAGGAGTTCAGGGCTACCACAACATGTGTGGGTCCAGGAAGTGCAAGCCTTTGAAATCTCATGATATATTGTTTACACTTTTATCATTCCAGACTGCTCCAAATATCTGACTCCAAAAACTTTTCCCAAAAGGACACATGGGCTATTGAAAATAGAGCTTTTTGACTCTGTCGGCAGGGTAGTGGATGTCAAACTGGAAAAGCCTACTTGGAAGGCTAATCGAGGGCTATTTTATGAAAGGGCCTAACATTTTAAAACAATATTCAAATCATTTGAAAAGTTGTATTTGGAAGTGATCTTGAGACATTTCTAAAAGCATAAGAGTTCTTTTTGCTAAGGAAAATCTTTTTTCTTTTATTTTTGGTAGAGACAGAGTCTCACTTATCACCCTCAGTAGAGTGCTGAGGCATCACACAACTCACAGCAACCTCCAACTCCTGGGCTTAGGCGATTCTCTTGCCTCAGCCTCCAGAGTAGCTGGGACTACAGGCACCTGCCACAATGCCCGGCTATATTTTTATTGCAGTTCAGCGGGGGCCAGGTTTGAACCTGCCACCCTCAGTATATGGGGCCAGTGCCCTACCCACTGAGCCACAGGTGCTGCCCACTAAGGAAAATCTTTTACAACTGTATGTCATGAAACTTAGGATGTGGGCATACAAGTTGTATTGTTTAGGTGTGAACTGAGTCTACTGTGCTTTTCCTGTTTTTGTTTGATTTTCAACTTTTCTTTATGGAAAAATTCAAACATACATAAAAGTAGAAAGAATAATGACTTGCAGCTTTAACAATTATCAATTCATTTACCAATCTCATTTCATCTGTACCCTACCCACTCTCTGTTTAATTTAAGGCTAATGCCAGACCTCAAATCATTTCATCTACAAATGTCATTTCAGCTATAAATATCTAAAACAGGCGTCCTCAAACTACAGCCCATGGGCCACATGCGACCTGCCTAGGAAATTTATCCAGCCTGCCGGTTGTTTTTGCGGCCGACTCGTCCCAGGGCCTACAGTCCGGCCCTCCAGCAGTCTGAGGGACAGTGAACTGGCCCCCTGTTTAAAAAGTTTGAGGACTCCCAATCTAAAAGATATATGATACTGATAAGTATATATTTAAAAATTTATAATAATTCTTGAACATCATAAAATAGTCACAGTTCTAAGTTCCAATTATCTCATTTAAAAATTGTGCATAGTATAACTGTTTGAACCTGAATCCAAATCAGCTCCATGCATTGTAATTGATAAGTCTTGTGAGTCTTTGTCTATTGACAAGTCTCCCCTCTGTCTCTTCCCTTGTAATAATATATTTGTAGAAGAATCAGTTGTTTGTCACAGAGGGTGTCCCCAGTCTGGGTTTGCTAATTGCCTCCACATGGTGTCTGTCACTGCATTTCCCGGTCACTCTTATTTCTGGTACCTTTTGGTTAGAGTTCAAGTCTTGATCAGAGTCTGTGTTGTTGTGTGACTGGTTTGCCCATTCTTTTTTGCTACAGCATTTCATGGAGGTGGCTTCGTCTATGTAGAGGCACCTCTGGGGGTCAGGTTGCCTTTCTTTTTGTAACACTAGCAGCTGTTGGTGAACACCCAGCCCCACTGCTCTATGAAAATTGTATATGCCTTGCCCAAACCTCATAGTTAGCCCTGGAATTATAAATGAAAACACCGACACTTTGGCCAACACAAGATAGTCACCAGTTAAAGGAAATGAACACGTTTTATTTTCAGTGTGCTTCTCATATGGATAAAGCTTAATGGAGGAAGCCTTGATGAAGTAAATCTACCACAGGGAACTGGATAAATTGAGACATCTTGGTTTTAAATATCAATATATAATCAATAATGACACATTATTCCTTATTTAGCATTTGGTATTTAAATGTGGCCGAGATTTACTTTTATACCACTTTATTGGCTGAATCATGACAATCTGTTGGTATCAGGAAGCTGTGATGAAAAGGGCTAAGACCTGACTGGAGTGAGCCAAGGATTGCAAAAGGGTCTCCAGCTTCTTGCTCCTGCTTGCTGGAGCAGCACAGACCGGTAGTCCCAGCTACTCGAAAAGTGGGAGGATCACTTGAGCCCAAGAGTTTAGGGCTACAGTGAGTTAGATCATACCACTGCACTC